AAGACACTCATGAAGATAGGATTGGAAGGTAAGTTCCTCAAGCTGATACAAGCTATCTATGAAAGGCCAACGCTCTCTGGAGCACACACAATACAAAGCACATAAAATCTTCAGGCTATACTTGACATCATCCTCACTTACAACCAAGTGTACTACCTCCATCTAGCCAATGCTGATTCATAGCGACCACCTGTGGGTTTTGGAGACTGCAACCATTTATGGGAGGAGAAAGCCCAGTCTTTCTCCTGCGGAGCTGTTGATGGTTTCAAACCACCAGCCTGGCAACCATGCGGATCGCAGCCCACCTTGTAACCCACACCACTACCAAGAGCTCAGTGTATGTAATTTCTTAGTATCTCCGATTCATTGCCCTCCTATCATATGCTCTTTCTAAAACTCACCCTGTTACTGCCCTAAAGATAAAGCCTGAACTTACTACTTTGGCTTAGGTCCAAATTCTTGATCTTCAAGTTTATCTCGTCATCTTCATTTCCTGTGGTTAGCCCATGCCGGGCAATTTGAAACGCTGACAAGTCCCCAAATATATGTGGGAACCCTTGGGAAAAAATAGAATTAAAAAGGGAATTAAGTCCCCTCATATACATACTACTCATTCCCTGGGTTTTTGCTCATATCTCCTTCGCCTAAAACACTGTATCAGTAAGCTTTGTGCATAACAAACACTCCAGCTCTCTCATCCTTCAGCAGGAGTCTTTTCATGCTGGTCTCCGGGATGCCAACAGGAAGAGGCACCATGTCCCTCCCAATGCACTTTTCAACTGTCTGCTCCTGTCCTATATGCTTATGTCCTGTTGATCAGACAGACAGTGCAAAGTCCAGATTTGAGGGGTCGAGAAATAAACACCACTTGCTGATGGGAGCAACTGCAGGCACAATGAGTGGAGCAAAGACATGGGGGAGGGAGAACTTGCGTAACTCTTTGCAGACAAGTGACCATGCTTCTTAACTCCTTTGTCAGCTCCTACTCATCTTCTAGACTCAATCTAAAAATTACCTTTGGAATAGTTTTCCGGATCCCCAAACCAGAGTAAAAATTCTCTCCCATGTCTTCTAACACACTACCATTATATTGATTATTCTCTCATCAACGAGTAAGTTGAGTTTGGATGATAAATAATGTATCTTCAATTCAAAAAGCTGAGTTGATTGTACTGCATTTCATGTCACATCACTCCTGTCTTGCAGGGAGGTCGCTGAAAGGATGGCATGCACTTTGATTTGTTTTATCTTCACCGCCTAGTACAGCACCTGATTAACAATGTCTGAAAAATAACCAAAATGAAAACCATAGGAAAGCAGGTTGATTGCTATTTAAACAGCAACAAAGACTGCTCTTGTGATCTCGGCCTTCCTAAGATGTAATAAGTTGCAAACACTTGGGAAGATCTGAGCCGCATAAAAAGGAAGTGACGTGAGAATGAAATGCTCGTGCTGGGGGAGAATAAGGGAAAATCAGCCACAAGGAAGCAATACTCTTTTATTAGAAGTACAAAGTCATTTTAAAGTCCAATTTCTCCCTTTTGAAAGTTTTCTTTGCTATCAATGCCTGCATTAGAAAGCAGAGAAAGTCTGCCCTCTCAGCTATGTCTTCTCCTCGCTCTTCAGTCTTCCTTCAGCAGCACTTGGTAGAGCCTCCACGCCCAGCCTGTGCTGAGAGGTTCCTAGCTGTCAGACAGGCAGAACCTCCGAGGCTCAGAGACAAGTCTGGAGGGGATCAACCAGAGCCACCCCCTTTCACATACATGTGTGCTATATATTTACATATATATACATTTTTATTTTACAAAAATAATACAACACAGGGTTTACACATCTCT